TAGAAATTCTGAGAGTTAGAAAAACAGAAGAAAAATATACTGATGCTGATTGAAATGACATTTCTATAAATGCAAAAGCCATCAATATTCTTCATTATGCAGTAGATCCAACAGAATACAACAAAGTGTCCAGATGTAAGTCTGCAACGGAAGTTTGGGAAAAAAGATGTAAGTCTGCAACGGAAGTTTGGGAAAAATTTAGAGTTACCTATGAGGGTACTGATCGAGTGAAGGAATCCAGAATTAATATCCTTTGGAGAGAATATGAAATGTTAGTATGAAAGAAAGAGATACTATAGTTGAATTAAATTCTAGATTTACAAATATAGTTAATACTTTAAGAACTCTTGGAAAGAAAATTTCAGAAGATGAGCTTGTTAAGAAAATCCTTAGAACTCTACATAAAAAATGGGATTCTATAGGAACTGTAATGAACTATAAAGAGACTCCAGTTACCTATGATTATTTAATGGAAGGCCACAGAAAAAGTTTATCAAAAAGAACTTTTCACCTAACAATAGCAACTTGCCTAAGAAAGAACCTTCTGAAGTGGCTTGTACCTTCTGAAGTGGCTTGTTATGAGTGCAACAAGCCCAGCTATATCAAGCCTAACTGTCCTAAGTTGAAAAAGAAGTCAAAGAAAGAAAAGCTGAATCAGGCATTCGTAGCTACTTGGAGTGACTCAGACGATTCTAATTCTGCAAGTCAAAGTGACCAGGAGAAGACTACAAATATTTGTCTAATGGCCACTATCGATTCCGACTCAAGGAAATCAACACTCTGACTTCAACATAGAAAGCTAGAAGTAATGAAGCAGATACAACAAGCCAAAAACGTGAAGAAAGCAATATAAATATTTCTGAACTTGAATCTGAAAATGATCTTCTAGATACTTATAATAATATTTGCACTGAATTTTAAAAGCTTGTTAGAAAGCATAAAGTTCTAAAGAAAGATTTCAGAAAATTAAAAACTAAATGTAATCATTTGAAAGATGCTTTTTATATTCAAGGGAATACATGCAAAGATCCTTATTGTTAGAGACAAGATCCTAAAAGATTGTTAATGACAAATTGTCTGAAAAAATTTTGAAACACTTTGAAAGAAAAATGTAAAAATCTTGAACTTCTAAAAAATGAACTTTGAAAACTGAGATTAGAAATTCTAAAAGTCAAATTTCAGAACCTTTTTCTAAAGAAAGAACCAAATTCTAGGCTATGATAGCATTTCAATACAAAATCATGTTTTCTTAATAGTTAAGAAAAATTGTTGCTTTCTAATGCTTGTGACTTTAAACATAAAAAATGGATCTGTTCTCAAACAGAAAAGAAAAAACCCATAGTAAGTTGAATACACCTTATTACCACATCCCTCCAGGACCAATACGAGTTGGGTATCTAAATCTGCTATGATCTTTTCAAGACATAATCCTGTGTCTGGACGTGAGCTGAAAACAGAAATGTGGTACATGGGGGATGCACTTGCTCTAGGATACAAGTGGGTGATAGAAAGAAAATTCACCAGATTAGAAAGAAAAGGAGGACCAATTAGCTTTGGCAGACAAAGCAAAAAAAGGGTAAAATTATGGTTAGTGTGGATAAGGTTTTAATCCTTCAATAGAAGATTGTATGCTTAGTTAGAAGGATTACATTATAATTTTGTAAGTGTGAGTCAAATTTGTGATTAAAATAGAAGGAGTATCTTTGAACCCTCTTATTGTTGAAAGATTCAGAACATTACACTTGATAACAAAACTTTATTTGGTGGAAAAAAGGTTAGGAACATATTTACCTAGAGACCTTGCTAATTTGCATAACCTAGATATATGTTAGTTTCTGTTTGATAATTTCTCCAGTTGGTTATGGCATTAAAAGACTTGGACATTTGCAAGCATGACATTATTTCTAAACCTGTCTAAGAAAATTTGGTTCGTGTTGCCAAACGCTAAAATTTGGAAAAATCCACATTCTGTGATGCTTGTCAATTGCGGAAAACCAAAACTGAGAACATCCTTTTTCCAAATCTAAGGGCATCGGTTTGTACTTCTTAGACCTTTAGAGTTGCTACACCCTTTGATTTATTGGCCTGCGTTACTCCCTCTAGTCTTGGAGGGAAATTCTATGCATTTTGTTATTGTTAGATGATACTCTAAATTCACCTGGATAGATTCACCTGGACACTCTTCCTTAGAAATAAGGATGAGTCATATGACGTGTTTGTTCATCTTTGCAAGAGAATACAGAATGAGAAAGGATATAACATTTCTGCGATTAGAAGTGACCATGGAAGAGAATTTGAGAATTAGAAATTTGATTTTTTTGCAAAGAGTCAGTAATCTTCCCTAACTTCTCAGCACCTAGAACGCCCCAGTAGAATGGAGTAGTGGAACGCAAGAATAGAACACTTTAGGAAATGGCTAGAACCATGCTAAGTGATTCTAAATTACCAAAGTATTTTTGGGCAGAAGACACTTGCTTGTTATATTCTAAAACAGAGTTTGGTAAGATCTAAAACTGAAAAAGACTTCCATATGAACTATACAAGAGTAGAAAAGCCCACAATATATTATTTTTCACATTTTTGGCGTTGTAAAATGTTTTATTCTAAATAACCAAGAAAAAATCATCTTGCAATTTGATGTTAAAATCTTATTGAAGGAATTGTCTAGCGATATTCTAGTAATAGTAAAGCATATCTAGGGTGTTTAATAAAAAAACCTCTAGTTGTAGAAGAATTCTATCCATATTCATGTTTGATGAAATCTTTTGATGTCTACTTCTAAAATTTGTTAGAAAATGATGATGTTATGAATCTGATTCTACTTCTAGAATTTTAGAAAATGATGATGTTGTAGATTTCAATCAAGAAAAGCAGAATGAACAGTCAGAACAACTAAAACAGTTAGAAAGTGAGCAGAATGTTGATAATCAGGCTGAATCAGAATATGAACATCAAGATCAGAACGCAACTGAAAGTCAAATGGTTGAAACAGAAAATGAAAATTTTAAATTACCAAAAGAGTGGTGTTTCCACAAGTATCATCCTCAAGATGATATCATAGACAACCCTTCAGAAAGGATGATGACTAGAGCTCAACTTAAGAGATATTTTGGTAATGTTGTTTTCATTTCTCAATAAGAACATAAGAATTTAGAAGATACTCAAAATGATGAAAGTTAGCTTCTTACTATGCAAGAAGAACTAAATCAGTTTGAGATAAATTAAGTTTGGAAACTTGTTTCTAGACCTAAAAACCATTCTGCTATTGGAACAAAATGGATGTTTAGAAATAAGCTTGATAAACAAGGTAATTTTGTGAGAAACAAAGCAAGGTTAGTGGCTCAAGGTTACAACCAAAAAAGGGCATCGATTTTGAAGAGACTTTTGCGACTTTTGCTCCGGTTGCTAGACTTGAGGCCATTAGAATGCTTTGTGCATTTGCATGCTTTAAAAACTTTATGTTATATCAAATGGATATGAAAAGTACTTTTCTAAATGAAGAAGTGTATATAGAACAACCACTCAGTTTTGAAGTCTATGATAAAACAAATCATGTTTACAAACTTACTAAAACTGTTTATGGTTTAAAACAGGCTCCTAGAGCTTGGTATGAAAGATTAAGTAAGTTTTTATTAGAAAATGGTTTCTCTAAAGGAAAGGTTGATATTACACTATTTATTAAAAATAAAGCACTTGATATTCTAATTGTACAAATCTAAGTTGATGACATAATCTTTGATTCTACTAATGACCTTCTTTGTAAGGAATTTTCTAAGATTATGTAGTGTGAGTTTGAAATGAGTATGATAGGAGAATTAAATTTCTTCCTTGGACTTCAAATCAAACAATGTGACAATGAAATTTTAATAAGATAGGAGAATTAAATTTCTTCCTTGGACTTCAAATCAAACAATGTGACAATGAAATTTTAATAAACCAAGGCAAGTATACTCGAGAACTATTGAAACGGTTCAAAATAGAGAATGCCAAGGTATGTAGTAAACTAATGAGTCCATCCTCAAAATTAGAAAAAGATGAAAAAGGAAAGGATGTGGATATGAAATTGTTTAGAAGTATGATTGATTTTTTACTATATCTGACTCCAAGGAGACCTAACATTCACTTTAGTGTTTGTTGCATGGTTATTGAAAACAATTGTCTCTCTTTTCCTCGGTCATTTGTCTTAGAAAAATAGCCGAATGTGCCAAAGCTTTATCCACCTGGGGAGGAGGTTTTCTAAAGTCAAAACGGATGTAGCTGCAAAAAATCAAAACCCTGCTGTGTAGTCTAAAATTGATGTTCATTCTGCCAACTTGTATGCCATTTTACAAAGGAATTATGACTCTTGTTTGGAAGACATGGAAGTATATTGGAAAAGCGGGCTAAAGCTTTCTAGCTGAAAGGGAGGCGGGGGACCAAAACTCCAAATTCTTTTACTTCGTCTAGTGGACAAAAAAAATCTACCTCAAAGTTACAAGACTCCAACGAGGTTTTGCATGAAAAGGGCTAAGGCTTAGATGACTTAATGAGGGATTACTTCTTCTTTCTATTTACTTCAGGTGGTTTTGTAGATACTTGTATTTTTTTCATGTGTGAATTCAGTCATAACTAATGATCAAAATGTTCTTCTGGATGAACAGTTTACAGTGGAAGAAGTTAAAGCAACTAGTTTCTCTATGCATTGCCACACGTCCCCAGGACCTGAGGGGATAAGTTCGACTTTATATCAAAAGTATTGTGATATTGTTGGCCATGCTATTACCGAAGCGATTCTGAATTTTCTGAACAATGGGAGCTTCACCACAACGTTGAATCATGTATTGATTCGAAAGAAAAAGATTCCTACTTCAACAACTGATCTTCCCCTTATTTCTTTATGCAATGTATTTTATAAAATTATTTCTAAAGGCATTGCTAACCAGCTAAAACTTGTTTTATCATATATTATATCACCCTCCTAAAGTGCATTTGTTCCGAGTCGGCTAATATCTGACAATATCATGGTCACGTATAAGGTTATCCACTATTTGAAGAGGAAAACTCAAGGCAAGATGGGCAAGATTGTCCTGAAAATTGATACGAGCAAGGCATATGATCGCGTTGAGTGGGAATTTCTACAGGGTATGATGACTAGACTGGGGTTCAGTAAAAATTTTATTGATCTAGTGATGACTTGTGTTACCACAGTTGAATATACGATTTTACAAGATGGGAAAGAGCTTAGTCTTGTGAACCCGAAAAGGGGCTTACGACAGGGATGCCCATTGTCGCCGTATTTGTTTATTATGTGTTCAAAAGGTCTATCTTCACTTCTTCGAGATATAGAAAGTAAAGGTCTTATTCATGGTCTCAGTGTTTATAGAGGTGCATCTTCCATCTCCCATTTGTTCTTTGCACACGATTACTTGTTACTTTTTAATCCTTTGGAATCGGAGAGTGGCCATATTAAAGATTGCTTCTCCATCTATAAAAAAGCATCAGGTCAAACTATAAACCTGAGCAAGTCCACTTTGGCATTCAATGCTAATACTGTCTAGTTAACGAGATCTCGTGTCTTTCTTCAAAAAAAAAAAAAAAAAAAAGTTAACGAGATTCTCGTGTCTTTCTTCAAAAAAAAAAAAAAAAAAAAAAAAAAAAAAAAAAAAAAAGAGTTCTTATGTTTTCAACTCTCTTATGGTCCATGAATCTCCTTTCCTAGGGTCTTACTTGGGTCTCCCTTCTTTGTGGGCCAAAGTAAGCAGGAGGTCATTGGTTTTATTAGAGATAAATTCTGGAAACATTTAACAAAGTTGGAAAAAGCTCCTCCTTTCAAGAGCGGGAAAAGTGCTTTCGAAGTCTGTGGTGCATGCAATTTCCATTTACACTATGTCTGTTTTCCTGCTCCCTCAATATCAATGTGTCGATCTGCAAAGGTTAATGAACAATTTTTGGTGGGGTTCTAGTTCTAATGACAGTAATGGCATCCATTAGAGGAGGTGGGAAAAGCTCTATTGCTTGAAATCCTTAGGGGGTCTTAACTTCCATCGTCTCCATGAGTTCAACTTAGTGTTGTTGGGTAAACAAAAATGGTGCCTTCTCATTTTCCCAAATTTAGTGGTAGCGAAGCTCTATAAAACCCGATACTACCCTGACTCTTCCTTATTTGAAGTAGCCTTGGGTTAAAACCCAAGCTATATATGGAGTGGCTTGCGAGCTGCTATATCGGTGGTTAAGTTAGGCAGCATCTTAGGGTCGACAATGGTAGTTCCATCTTCATTTGGTCTGATCCTTGGCTCCCCGACGCCCTTAATCCTTACATCATATTTTCTTTATTAGTTCTCTTATCCAAGCTGATGGGAAACATTGGAAAAGAGATATTTTACAGATTTTGTTCTCGGACAGGGATATGAATCTGATTTTGCAAATCCCTTTGTATGGTCGAAATAAAAAGGATGGTTAGCTTCGGTATGGTGAAAGGAGTGGTGTTTATTTAGTTCGTAGCACTTATAGAAGACTGAGTTCTGGTTTTCCATTAATCTCCCCTGCTGCAATGAAGTCATTTTGAGTCAAGCTTTGGGCACTAAAGCTCACCACAAAAGTGCTCAACATCATCTGGCATATTGGCACGAGGTCTATCCCGGTTTGACATGCCTTGGTAGCTCATGGGATGGATATAGATTGTCAGTGTTGACGCGTAATTTTATGCCCCCACCTAACCCGATGATGATATGAGGATAAGGGATAAAGAATCACGATCAACCAGAAGTGTTTAAACCAAAATAAAGAACACGATCAAACCAGGGAAGTGTTAAAACCATCAAATTATTTTAATCAAAACCGGCCCCAAAAGGAGTCTGACCCGTCGTTAGGATTGCTACATGCAGCTGATGTTGAGTTGCGAAGTTGACCAGGGTAAAACCGACATCTTTCGGGCCGATCAAACCGAGCCTCGAGGATGCCTTTTCTAAACCGACTGAAGCCGATCAAACCGAGCTGAGTAGTTGGCCTGCACTGTTTGTATGGATACGCGGCAACTGTACGAAAAGTAAGCTGCGTCACGCAGCCTCTACCTGCGTGACGCAGCTTGTTCTGTTTTCCTACCATATAAATGCATCATTTTACACTAAAAACGGGACTTTTTGACATTTTTTCTCTCATTTTTGCTCTAAAGATTTTAAGGCTTTAACCTAAGTTTATAGAAAAACGGCTAGGGTTTTCTTCCCCAAGAACTCAAGTGAGTAAAGTGAGTAAACTTGAGGGAAGATCAAACCGTTATACATTTGGTTTTGAAATCAAAAAAAAAAAAAAAGAGAAAAAAGAGAAAAAGAGAGAAAAGGAAAGAAAAGAAAAACTTTGTTTGAGTAACCACATTTCTAAACTTGATAACAACATCTCTGGGATCGTGAAGCAGTGTCCTAAAACCGATCTAAGTGCATGCAATCCTCAAATCTGAGGGCTAGGTAATCATTTTACCCGTTGCTTTTCATTTTTAGCTTTTTCTTGCTTAAAAATCTCATTTTCATAATGTTTAATTGGTCTGTAATTGTTTAAACGTAATTTTGCCCATTATTGGATTTTTTTTGAGTTGTGTTTAATCACTTTTGACAAAAAGAACAAGTAAAAAGAGTAGTTTGAAAGGTAGTTGCGACCAAAGCAGCCGCGTCACGCAGCTATTACCTGCCTGACACGACTGTTCATGTCCAAAAGTCTTTGATTTGGACTGGACCACCTGCGTGACGCAGCTGTTCGCGTGTATTTAGTTCCCATTTTGTCTATATACTTGTATTTAATATTTTGTTTTGAATAAAAGAATCAATATTTCTGAGAATTTTAATAAGTCACGAACAGTTCTGTCACGTAGCTAGGAGTTCCGTCACGCGACTATTCTTCACCGTCACGCGACTGTTCTTCATAGAACAGCTGCGTGCGCAACTGTTCCTATTTCCAGGGCAATAACAAAAGTTCCGTCACGCGACTGTTCTGCATAGAACACTCGCGTGACGCGACTGGTCTAATGTTCCAGAACGAATAATGATAGATGCGCCACACGACTGTTCTTCATAGAACGGCTGCATGACGCGACTGTCTTCAAAGTCTAGAATAACTTCTTTATTTTGATTTAATTTCATGTTACTAAATAAATTCTTAATCTTAATCCGGAAAATGATCAATGGTGGGCAAATTAAGTCTTAATCAAACTAAAAATTAATTGATTGTTGATTGTGAGATTCTGCAGATTTTAATATTTATTGCTTTTCTTTATTAAATATTAAACTCGGTTGTGGCCCGCCTTTAACCATTTAAGCAAGAGGCGGTCTTTATAGATTATTTTTTGCTATAATTATATATTGTATGGATGGGAATGATGATGTGATGATAATTGCTGAAATGAGATGCAATGAATGAATTATTTGGGACGTTAAATTAATTTTCCGCATAGAACCCGGTTCAATCTTGGGTTGGGGTTTATTTAATATAATTGGCTTTTCTAAAAATAAATTAGTTAGAAATCGTTAGTTAAAAAAGAGGCCGGTTTTCCAGGCGTCCGGTTTCCAACGGGGCCAACGTACCCAATTCCCTGACCCAGGAACCTCATTGGTTCGCCTGACCAGTTTTTCTAATAAATAGGCCTTGAATAAAAATTGGGGTTAAATGAAAAGCACTGTTTATAAAATAAATCGGAAACGGTATCCCACGGAAACGGTCCCATTGCCGAAATAATGGGTGGCGACTCAAATGTTTTATAAGACCGATTTATTGGCATCGCATATCCAAAAAGATTTTTATCACCGTTTTCCAAAATAAACAACAACAAATAAACCCAAAATAAAAATGATGTTTTCGGATCCTCCGGGGTGGGATTTCGATGAAAACAACTTAAAAGGAGCTTAATCTGAGACAGCGCAAATGGTTAGAGCTACTTAAGGACTATGACTTCACCATTGATTACCATCCAGGTAAAGCTAATGTGGTAGCATATGCACTTAGTAGGAAGTCCTTGGTTGCTTTACGTGCTATGAATACTCGATTATCTGTAGCTAGTAATGGTGCACTCGTGGCAGAGCTTATGAATGATTAAGAAGCCTAGTCTACTTCAGGCAGATTCGAGATTGCACAGAGGGATGATGAGACAATGGCCTTGTGGAAAAGACCTAGTCAGAGATGAAGGAAAAAAGAGATTTATATTAAAGATTGACGACTGCTGTGTACTTTGGGATCGAATTTGTTCTGCCTAAAATTTCAGAGTTGCAGGAAGACTATCTTAAGTAGAAGATCATAGTAGTCCCATATCTATGCATCCTGCAGTAATAAATGTGATCAGGATTTGAAATCACAGTTATTGGTGGCCGGCGATGAAAGGAATATCACAGATCTATGTGTCGAGGGTTTGACGTGCAGCAAGTGAAAGCCAGCAGGCATCAGTTTCCTTCTGGTTGTACACCCTACTTCTATTCCAAAGTGCGAAATGGGATAAGGTTACTTGGATGTTTGTGACTGGATTGCCTTTACTCCGAAAAAGAAAGATGTTGTATGGGTAAATATTGACAAGATTAACTAAGTCGGCGCACTTTCCTTACCTTTAGGACCGACTTCACAAACATGAAAGCAATATGCAGAGCTTTATATAATAGATAGTGGATAACACGAGGGTTTCCCTTCTTCATCATTTCAGATAGAGATTCCGAATTTTAACTCTCTAGATTTGGAAAGAGCTGCATGAGGCCCTGGAGTACTAAGCTAAATTCAGCACAGCTTTTCATCCTCAAACTTGATGGGTCAGTCAAGAGCGGGGTTAATTAGCGGGTTATTCAGATTTTGGAGGATATGTTAAGAGCTTGTGCTATTGAGTTTGAGGGCAGTTGGGAGAAGTACATTCGAACTTGCGAAATTTGCCTACAATAACAGTTATCAGTCGAGTATTCAGATGGCCCCTTTTGAAGCACTGTATGGTAGGAGATGTAGGACTCCACTATGTTGGTCACAGTTGAGTGAGGGTAAGATGGTAGGTCCAGATTTGATTCGACATACAAAGGAAAAGGTCAGAATTATCAAAGATAGATTGAAAGCAGCTTCAGATCGTCAGGAGTCTTATGTAGACTTGGAGAGGAGAGATATAGAGTATGCAGTAGGAGATAAGGTTTTCCTTAAGGTATCTCTGTGGAAAAAGATATTGAGATTTGGAAGAAAGGGTAAGCTTAGTCCTAGGTTCATTGGTCCATACGATTGAGGGCGTGTGGTCCATTAGCTATAGACTAGTTACCACCAGACCTAAGATAGGAAATATAAATGTGTATCCACGTATCTATGTTGAGAGGATCGGTCCGACCCATCACAGTAATATCAGTGGATTCGTGACATAGAGCCAATTTAACTTATGAGGAAGAACCCAGTGAGGATTACTTTGCAGAGAAATCAAGGAACTAAGGGAATAAAGAGAATTCCCTTTGGTAAAATCCTTTGGAAAAACCATTAAAACCGCGAAGAAGCTACATGGGAAAGTGAAGATATTATGAGACAACAGCATCCTCAGTTGTTTAATTCAGGTGAATTTCGAGGACGAAATTCTTTAAGGGGGGGAGGGCTGTAACGCCCCGTTTTTCCTGTGTTTCAATAGTAGTTTACCGGTCTGTGAATAGTACCACCGGTCCAGAATTTGGTATTATTTTTTGTCCGGAAAAATTACTATTTATGTTTTATATTATGTATGCATGGTTTTTATGGGTAGAAAGTAAGTAAGGAATATTTTTGGAGAATTTAGATAATTAGTGAATAGTGAATTATGGTGTTATATTTATATTAAGTAAGGAAATTTGAAGCAATTATTTTTTTATGGAGAAATTTGAGGAGTTAATTTTATGGGACTAAATTAGAGGGTTTTTGGAGATAAAATAATATTTTGAAGGAATTAATTGGAGAATTATTTGTAGCCATTTAGATTAGATTTACTAGTAAACTTAATCCTATAGCCATGCCAATTTGGAGAAAAGACCAAAATACCCCTTAGTTACTTATTAAAGGCAACGCATTCAATTTATTGAGCAACAAGCTTTTCCGTTCTTCTTCTTTTCCTACACGTCTCCTCCTTCTCCTTCTTCTTCTCCTTCTTCTTCTTCTTCATTTTCTTCAATTCTTACTTAGTAAACACATCAAATTCACCCTATCCAACTTGATTTAAGTAATAAATCTTAGAGAGTGAAGCTAGAGAAGTAATATTTGGTGACTAATTTCAAGGAATTTGGTGATCTTCCTACTTGGGTCAAGTAAGTGATTTTATGCTAATTTCATTATTTTTGGGTTTAGAGTTTTCTTTTAGCATATACATGCTTAATCATGCTCCAATTACTTCTTTTATTTGTTTTCTTTGTTTGATTTTGTTAACATTGTAAGAGGGGTGGAGAGCCTTCTAACAAAGATTAAGGGCAAGACAAAACTTGAGAAGCTTTGATTAAAGCTTATTAAAGCTTATTTTGAAGTAGTGTTTCATAAAGCACCCAATACCTACTCAAATTTTTGATTTTGTTGCCTTGTATGCTGATTATGTGGATATCTTTGGGATTTTGTATGAAATGAATTGATTGTGAATTTTGGTTGCAATACATCTCTTGGGTGATGTTTGATGAGTATTTATGTTTTGTGGTAGACATTCTACCTTGTATCCTTTGTTTGTTCATGTTCCTTTCATGGTTAAAAGAAAATGGTTAAAGAAAACTGAATTTGGGAAAAATGTGTTTTTGAGTGAGATTAAGGACCATTTTTCGATCCTTTCTAGTTTCTATTTGTGTCTAAGTCCTTCATAGACGTTTTAGGTCTACTTCTCAACTTTCCAACCCATCCTCTTGTGTCCAATTTGGAGATGTATAGCTCAACTTATGATTGAAACACTCAAACTGACTATGTTGTGTCGAGCCACATGCATCACTGAATTGAGTGCCCATTTTGACCACTATAATGAAAGGATTAGGCTCTAAGTTCTTCATAAAAGTTGTTTCCCTGTGTCTTGAGACTTCCCTCGTTCTAGATTGGCTTAATTTGAGTGTTTGATTAAGTAGGAATTCAATGAACATTGGACTTAGTTCTGCTGAATCAGGTCTGGTCTGTTGGTCTGTGTTCCTAGTTTTTGTTTTCTATCTTACCGATTCATCTGGGCTATGATCCCTTCATAACATTTGTAGAATTTTTTGTCTTATCTTTCTTAATGAATCTAATTTCATTTAATTTGGAGACTTTCAATAACCAAGTGATGTTTTAAAAACCACAGCAAAGGTCGCAAAATGTTACTTTTGATGCTGGAAATTTTCGGTTGTAAGTCAATATTTGAGAATTTTATTGAATACTTAAGTTGAAATTAAGTTTTATTATATTTTAAAAGCCTTAAGAAAATAATTTTATGAGAAAGTTTATGAAGTAAGAATTGAAAAACAAGAATTTTGGCTCTTAATTATACTTGGTTGTGAATTTGATGCCATGATTTGATCATTATGTATGAATGAGCATGCTCGACCATTTGATGCCATCTATGATAAGAAAGCTATGATCCATTATGCTAGGCCACGTGGTGTCTGATGTTAGGGCGGACGGCGCTCTTATAGTTATGCAAAGGTTGGCGAAACTAAGGCCATTTATGAAAAGCTATTGAAAAAACTTATTCTTTACTTCTTTTTCGCCTAAGTGTCATGTGAGCCCTTGAAAAATATTTTTAAGGAAGTGAAATAAGAAATGAGGATCACATTATGTTAATAATTCTTAGTTACCATAACTTATTTATGAGATCAAATGAGTTTTCTAAAGCATGATGTGTTGGTGTGTACAATGTAATGCATGTCAAATTTAAGGATTTATGTATATAGAATGATTTTAAATTATGTTGGGCATCACAACGAATTGGTTTGTTGTTGTTTATGAGCACCACTGAGTTTTCTACTCAGCGCATTGATTTTATCACCGCGCAATTGGAGATTTGTGCTTGCTGCTTAAAACCAAAGAGTAAGCTCAGAGCTGAAAAGAGATATTTTGGTAGTGTATTAGTATTTTATGTAACGAAAAATTATGGCATGTATAAATATTACATTTTTGGAGATTGTATTATTGAATGTATAACTGTTGTAAATTATTGGGAGATAAACTTGGAACTTCTTTAATGGTTAGAATGTTAGAAGTTGATATGTTTAAATGCAGGTATTTAATTTATAACTTAAGCATGTTATTGTAAATTATTTTGGTGTATATTTATTGGGAGATAAACTTGGACTTATTTAATGGTTAGAACATTAGAAGTTGATATGTTTAAATGAAGGTATTGAATTGATGAATATTAAAATCGTATTGAGGATATGAAATGATAGAATATGTTTGGCGACTTCTATTTTTAAGGGAAACTCTTGCAGTTTTTCTGTAGGACTCTCCCAAATCATTTTCAAAACAACATATTATTACTTGCTAAACTTGTGAATACTAAGCCACTTCTAATTCATAATATGATTTATATGTAGGTTAGGACGGTGCCTCCGGCACCGAATGTGGCATCCACCGTCGGGTCTTTCAGGATCGGGCGGCGGGTGTTACAGTGGTTGATTAGATGAACACGCTGAATCTTTTATATATGATGTAATTATCCATGAATTAGTTGCTTATGCGAACAGATGATTTGAACTACTAAATCCAATGGAGGAACAGGCCGCACTATCAGGCTCCAAAAGACAAAGATCATCGCATAGTTGAAAATTTTTTCACAAATTGTAACCTATCCAAATAAACCAAACAAATGCAAACAACAAAATAAAACTCTACATAAAACGGAGAGATCATAAACTCCACACAAGATGGAGATAAAACACAAACAATAACAGAAACATAAATAACATGAATCTATGCCAGAATAGATATAGATCTATTGTAACACCCACCGGCCAATCCCGGAGAACCAGACGGCGGATGCCACAATCGATGCCGGAGCACCGTCTTATGTCACTTACGGAGCACCGTCTTATGTCACTTATTAAAGCTAGATCACAAATTAGAAGTGGTTAGATTTTCATAAGGAGGCAAGTAATTAACATTTGTTTTTAAAAATAAAATAAA